AGAACTGCATTTTTTAGATATTTAAGTAAACTAAATTTTATAATAAGAAATTACTCACAAAATAATACATGCATTTCCATAGCTACAGCTAATTTTCATGAATCTATTCCCTATTTTCCATGATTTTTGATTAATATTAATATAACATTTTGATTTCAACAGATGCTAAAGAATACCATGTAAATTGAAGGATAAATGTTATAGATAAATATAAAAAGAAAAATAAACGTTATCCAAATAAAGAATATAGTAGTTTTTCAGTTTAACTATGTGAATATTAGAAAGTAATTTGTATTATACATGAAAAAATGATATTTTATATCTCAATAGTGTGATGAATTCATAACTTAATTTATGGAACAACATTGATGAAATAACAAGGAAAATGTAAATCTTTCAAAGAGAACTTTCTAAAAGAGACTTTCAGATAAAAATGCACATTACTTAATTTCAAATTATAAATAACCTACTAGTAAAATATAATATATCATTTAATAATAAATTAATAATAATATATCAATATAATAATCATTTAAAATTTTTAAATAATCAAAAATTGTGTAAAGAAATGAAGAGAAGAAATTTCCCTCAGAACAAAATTTAAAGAAAATTATATACTGTACATATATAACTTTAATATATAATTATATAGCTATAAACTGATTAATCAAGAAAATTTTATAACCAGGTTTATTAATTTTTCTAACAGAAATAATTTCTTTTTCAAAAACTAATCATTTTATTGACATCACTCTTAATGTGGATAATTGATTGAAATAATACATGTAGTGTATGTACAGTACTCCCCATTAGAATACTACTGAAATCAATCTGGGTGCTGTAACGTGGTCCTGTAATCTGAGTGCTTATGTTAATTAACAAAATTCATATTATATGTCTGATAGCATAAATTATTAAATATCAATTTTTCCAACTGTTACAAAAACAAATAGTCATTTTGAATTGTTTATACTATGTTTTAAAATGTATATCAATAAAATAATTTTTTACAACTGTGATACTAATATGTATCATTTTAATTATTTTCAACTTTTCACAAAATCTAACTATAATAATTATAGTAACTATATAAATAATTCAAGAAAATTTTTAAAGATCCACATTATCTGTAATAAGAAGAGGTCAAGATGTTAATGTTTCGATGAGATAAGTATCATTATGTAGTAATTGAAGACTAATATAATATAGCATATAGGGATCAGAATTCATCTGATTTCCAAAAGGTAAGGTTAAAAATAAGTATAAATAACAGTCATAAAACAGTCATTACACTGGGTAGTAACAAAAGTCTCTCCCCAAACAATTATTTCAAACATTAATAAGGCACAATAGTAATTACTGTTCATCTTTCTCCAATGTATATTATGTTGAGCATGAATTAATGTGTGAATTTTCACACCCTCCAGCCCTTCTATCAGAGAGGGCTATTGCAAATCAAAAATCTTCTAATCTGAATACCAGTATTCTGATAAAATCACACTAACACAGTCAACTATTCTATCATTGCATAACATGAATGCAATGCTAGAATAGTTGACTGTGTAGATAGGTTTAAGTTCATACATTTGATATTTTCTATTACATCATTTAATAATTTTTCAGATCATTTGTTTATCTATATCATTTCTAACCCACTTCAGCTCACTCCAATAGGGTTTCAAGAGGACAGAAATTTGGACCCTCATTTAGAATATACTCAACAGAATACATCAGTAAAAGGTCTACAAAAAATGCTCAATTAATTTTTGAAATAACTGATTGAGGAAAGACTTTTGTTAAATCATTTTCAATAACTATACTGTATAAGATGATTTTAAAATTACTTATAGTATATAAACTTTTTATGATCTGTTACTTTCAATTCATTAATGGCTGCAGTTTTGAAGTGAAGTAATTTCAAATTTTTCCCAAAAGGTGTTTTTATCATTCTTTAGTCTTACATTCAATTGTACTAATTTTCTCATTGATTTTGAAGAAATGCATAGAATTTTATTGGAAATATGTATATTTTATAGTTTAAATTTCACCTACTTTAAAAATTATTTTTTTTCTAAACAACACAAGCAGAATTTATTTATTATATTAAAGAAAGAAATTTATAATAAAAAAATTAAGATTTTAGAATTTTAAGTTTAAACAAAATATAAAAACCAAAATTTATTTTTATGATTTAAATAATTTTCAGTGAAATTTTGTGAAAACTACAGATTTTAGAGTTAGCAATATTGTATCCAGTGTAAAGTTTTTAACATACAGTATCCCATCAACCATATACATTATTGAGTAATTTTTTTTAAATTCAATATTCAAGATATAATAAATTTTTCAGTTTCTATTTGCTAATATTCAAGAAAATTCATTACTATTTAAATAGTTTGATTAGACTATATTTGTTCAAGTAGTTTCCCTGTGATATACAATTCCTCATTTTCATTTATAAAACTTTGAAACTAATTTTTTTCTTTAATATACTTTTTCCTCTATGTTCTGAGAGCATTTTTCTCAAATTTCATTGATTTTAACACATTTAAATTTACAAATGTTCCTGCAGACAGCTATAAGAACAATACTTTAATTACAACTAATCAGAATAAAATAAATTTGAAAATTCAGTGTACAAATCAGTATAAAAATATCTCACAAGTATTCTAAATCACACTCTCTGAATTCCACATCCCTCAAAAGCCCAAACAACCTGGGCACACATTGCAAGTTTTATATAATACTGATATGAAATAATGATAGAACTCTAGTCCATCATTATTGAAAGTTGTTCATTGTGTTTATTGAACTATATGATAAATATGATTACTTTGCTAATTATAAAAAAAACTAAAGAGTAAACTAACTATCAAGTTGTAAAAAAATTTTTAAAATAAGATCTTTATTTAATTTGGTTTAATCTATAGCAGAAATCTTTTAATCCAGCAAAACTATAGCAAACTAATGCTTTTGGCCATCTTGAACGATATCATTAAGTTCTAGAATAAGATTATTTTTTGAAATATAAAACTCATATGATGAAATAATGAATATTTCAAATGTATTATTATTCCTGGCAATGACTAAGGCGACGAAAAACATTCATTTACTATAATTTTGTTGGACTAAAAAGATTTCTTCTCTAAATTAAATTAATTATTTGCAGGGGCGAATCCTGACCAAAATTTTTGGGCATGCTGAAAGTTATAATAAGAATAATAGGCCTATCTCTAGCACTAAACAATACGAAATGTTATTTGGTATGAATAAAAAAGTATGGACTATTATATAGCCCATTATATCTACACATGAAATATATTGTAATGAAAAAGTATTAAACATTTACAATAATAATTCAAATTTTGTGGGCCCTTGACACTGGGGGCCCAGGGCTTAAGCCCTAATCTCTATGTAGATCCATCCCTGTACACAATACATGTATGCTGACTGGATACTGCAAGTTATCGATACAATCTGGCTGTGTTAAATGCTTTGAATAATAGCGCATGCACTTGTTTGCTGCAACAAACCTCCACACAAGCAAGCGATCGAGTTCCCGCAAGCATGGCACTGACTTAAAACAGCTAGCGGCTGGCTGCTAGCCTCTAGCTGCCAATGTAAAAGAAAATTGCATCATAAAAGAGTTTACACGTTGGAATAAATTATTATTGGCATATTTGTTCTCACATAAAAAGTATATTGATGGCCAAAACTCTCTCTTAAACATGAAGTGCATGCTAAGCAAGCCCAGAGAATTCGCCCCTGATTACTTGTCAAATACATTTGCTTTTCATGATTAATATGATTAGACTTTGAAGTGAAAATAACAAACCACTAAAAATATATTTCAAAACTCCTGATACATTTAGTTAAATAATTTAAAACTTATTTGTGCTATAAGCTTTTCTTTTTTATATACTGTATTATAAATATGCTTTGAACTTTTATGTTCTTAAATTTTGTTAACTTATTTTTAAACTGTGTTAAAATACTATCTGCCATTTTAAGTGTAATTTGTTAACTTATATTTAAACTGCAATAAAATTGTTAACATTTTATCACTGGAAATGCCACATCATTTATCAATACAGTCAGATATTTTTGTGGTCATACTTTGAGATCACAAAAACAATTTTTTCAATAGACAATAGTTAGAAACATTATAAACAGTATACAGTAATCAAAGCAGCTGATTAATTTAATTAAAATAGAGAGCTATAAAAACATCCTCACTGACAGAGTATTATTTTGTTTATGTCACAATTAACAAAATGTTTTATTGCATTCTCAGAACAACAACAGAGATAAAATTCAATATTCTTTCTTTAAATTTTGCACTATTATTATAATTATATTTTCTCAATAGTGTTTCATAAATATGTATATTTGAATTGGTTCTGATGTCATAAGTTAATAACAACACATAATTAAAGTTTAGAATACAGCTACACTGTTAATTGAAACAAGTTTTAACTTTAAACTATTCACTAAAGTTTTCAGTAAGTCATTAAAATATTGAATACATTCAATCTTCTTTGCAATAAATTTTATTACTATTCTGAATGCAAGTAGTTAGCTCAATAATTTCAAAATATTTGGTGAAATTACAATGACCTTTTTTAAGTCATAATTTTTTAAACACTTTAGAAAAACTCTGGTATAAATATTTTTTGTTTTTCTTGCTTTTTCTGTTTTAAATAAATGTTTATTTTTCTTATTATAAATATACTTTTATAAGAATAAAACAGTTCATTAATATTTATAGTATCTGCAAAAAAATGAGATCTTTCAATATAAAGATGATTTAAAGATTAAAAATATTAGTTTGTTTAAAATATTCATATTACATGCATTTAAAAGAAAGCTATAAAACACTAAAATGCTTATATATTTTAAGTATGCATGTAACTAAGTGCAAATAGCAAATACATCTATGCAAATAAAATAAGAACTTATATTTGTGATACAAAAGCTTTCGAACAAAGAGTGAAGTTCACCTGTGCTGGTGCAGCAGTAGAAACAGCAGGAGCAACAGCAGGAGCAACATTAGGATAGTGTAATGTCCCATAGTAAGTAGGATAAGCCTATAATTTCAAATTGTTGAAAAGCCAAAATATTATCTATTTGTAAGAAAATAATATTTTAAAAATAAAAAATCTCTCTTATTTATATTTACATATTAAAAATTGTGTTTAAAATATTTATAATTTTATAATCAAAATAGAAAATAAATATATTATTACATATATAAATACAGTAAATGCCATATTNCGGAGAGGATTGAGATATATAGAAGTAGGCTACGTGAGGGATGTTTAAATGCGAGAGATGCTGATAGCCTGCCATCAGTGTGGAAGTACATGGTTAAAAAGTTCACTAAAAACTCAGACTAGAATTAGTTTATTGGAAGATTTGTGATATTTTTTATTTTATTTGGTGTCAATTTTATTTTGTGTTAATTTTATATGTTCTTCCATTTCTCTTGTATAGTTTTAAAAATTTTTTGCTCTAAATTTTTATTTAAATATTTGTATTCTATACTTGGAACGCATCTGTTCCATTTTCGTTTTTGACCTGATGATGGCCTGTTAATCAGGCTGAAAATGTTTGTTTTTCAATTATATATATTTCTCAGCAACAAATTAAGGTGTTTTATTTCTATAAAATATAATAATATGTCATCAGTATATCTAAATAAAATGCTTCATAAATGTAATTATATTAGTCATTGGACGAGATATATTTGCAATCTTCCATCTTTTGTTTTTAGCCAAATCAAATTATAAAATATGAAAAAGTATTATTACCTACAGCTCAATCTTTAGAGCAGTAAAAAAAATTTGCATTGATAAATGTAATTACTGTATATAATAATTTAACTAATAACAATACCTTCTTGTAATTTGAGAATGAATGTATAGTATTTGTTTTTAACAGTTTCTAAAAATTTTACGTAATGTTCTTTAAAAAAATATTGCATTTTTGATAAATATAAAGATATTTGGATTTCTACATACAAAGCTGTTTTATTATTAAATTCAATTAATTATTTAAGATAAAGAATAAAAATGAATTTGTCACAGAAGTATATCAACAAATATGCATTTGAATAAACAAATGAGTAATATATTTTTTATCCAAATCTTTTGTTCTTATCAATGGAAATAAAATTAAGTACTTTAAACTAATTATCATATAAAACTATTTTAAAGGATAAAAATTTCATAAACCAAAACAGTAAAATACTTTAAAATAAATATTATTAATTAATACAAATTTTTCTTTGTTTCTATTTAAATTTAAATCAAAGACAAACTGCATATATATACTATAGTATATTGTTTAGTTTGTTTTATATTTTTGATTATTGTTATACTTTCTGTATAAATAAGAAAGAAAATTTAATTGAAATTCCATAAAAGTTTCTAATTCAGATTTGAATTGATAATATGTGTTCAAATATAATGTTCAAAAATATTGATAAAAATACATATATTTCACAATATATTATAAAAATTTAATTTTATAATTAAATTGTTCTATGTAAATTATTGTGTAGAAATAAAGGATCAATCATGCAACAATTTAAAATAATAATATATAAAATAGATATTTGATAAGAATATAGAATAGTTCAATAATTCCTTTAAATTCATCCAGATTCTGCTTTCAAAAATTTTTTAAATTATTTTAATTTTTGTATTCTTTTTTTTAATTCTGAATTCTTCATATCTGAAATATCACTAAATATTATACCCTCATTAACAGTACACTATTATTGATAATGCAAATTCAAACAATAACATGAACATAAAATAATAAATATAAAATTCCTTATTATTCATATTACAGTGGTACCTTGACATATGAGTGCCCTAATATACGAGTGTTTTGAGATACGAGCCGCCGAGCGAGCGATATTTTGCTTTGAGATGAGAGCAAGATTTGAGATACGAGGAATCGCACACTACACTGCTGCACACGACCCCAACATGCAAAGCGCATGTTGGTATCGTGTGCAGCGTCTAATGGTTTCTCCCACCTCAGACTAGACCTCAGTCTGTGTGCTTGTTTCCCTCGTTTTCGAAGCATTTTTGATAAGTTGGATTCGCGTTTTTTGCTTTTTGTACATTTACAAAACATTATCACATTTATTTTTATAACCATGGGTCTGAAGAAGAAGATGATGTCTATTGAATTAAAGCGTGAAATCATAGAAAAACATGAGCAAGGTGTGCGAGTAATTGCCTTGGCGAGGATGCACTGGCCAAGTCAATTACTAGCACACCAAGCGTAGCACATCAATGATATGTACTGTGCTTAAACAGAAGGAGTTGATAAAGGGTATAACGCCAGCTAAGGGCGTTACAATAATTTCTAAGCTCCGGACCTCTCTCCATGAAAAGATGGAGAAACTACTGATGATGTGGGTGACAGAGAAGCAGCTTCAAAGAGGAACCTTAACACAAAGCATCATATGTGAGAAGGCACAAGCGATTTACGGTGATTTGCTGAAGCAGATTCCACACACTTCCACAAATAAGGAATCGGAAGACTCCTTTAAAGCCAGTCGGGGCTGGTTTGACAACTTTAGGAAAAGGACTGGCATTCACTCCGTCATCAGGCATGGTGAGGCAGCAAGTTCGGATGTGAAGGCAGCTGAGGTTTACATCAAAACATTTTCCGAACTGATAGAAGCCGAAGGATACATCCTCCAGCAAGTCTTCAACTGTGACGAGATAGGGCTTTTCTGGAAAAGGATGCTGAATAGGACTTACATAACGGCAGAGGAGAATACGATGCCAGGTCACAAACCCATGAAGGATAGATTAACTCTAGCACTTTGCGCCAATGCAAGTGGCGACTGCAAAATCAAGCCTCTGCTAGTATACCATTCAGAAAATCCCAGAGCCTTTAAGTCACATAAGATTTTAAAAGAAAAACTGCAAGTTATGTGGAGGGCAAATCCGAAGGCGTGGGTCACCAGGAAATTCTTTGTGGAGTGGATAAACCTGGTGTTTGGCCCTTCTGTTAAAAAATATCTACAGGAAAACAACCTACCCAAGCAAGCCCTTCTTGTCCTCGACAATGCCCCTGCTCACCCACCAAATCTCGAAGATGATTTACTCGAAGAGTTCAAGTTTATAAAAGTTCTCTACCTACCACCCAACACCACTCCTATCCTGCAGCCCATGGATCAGCAGGTGATTTCTAATTTTAAGAAGTTGTACACCAAGCACATTTTTTGGCGCTGATTTGAGGTGACGGAGAACACAAACCTTACCCTTCGAGAGTTCTGGAAGGACCACTTTAACATCGTGATATGCCTAAGAATTATTGATCAGGCCTGGCTGGGTGTTACAACGAGGACCTTAACCTCTGCATGGAAGAAGCTGTGGCCTGAGGCTGTAGCTGAAAGGGCCTTCGAAGGATTGGAACCCGAAGTGTCAGTGGTAGAGGAGATTGTTTCTCTGGGAAAATCCATGAGTCTGGAGGTGGATGAGAGAGATGTGAACGAACTCATCGAGGAACAGTCTCAGGAGCTGACAACCGAGGAGTTACACGATCTACATTCACAGCAGCATACGGTGGTTCAACGAAAAATTAGTTTTGAAGAGGAGCCAGAGATGGAGGAGGTTATCTCTACAAGAGATATAAAGGAGATCTTGGGAATGTGGGAGAAAGTTGTAGAGTTCGTGGATAAAAAATCACTCCGAAAAAGTTGCAACTGGTCGTGCATCAGAGTTGTTCAACAAAACTTGCCTAACTCATTTCCTCAATATCCTGAAAGGGACAGGGAAGAAACAAACCTCCTTGGACAGGTTTTTAAATGATCTGCAGGTGAAAATGAGCAAAGTGTGACAAAAAAAGCGAAGACCAGTGATGAAAATTAAGCACTTCCGTAAGCACTTCACTTTTTCTTTTATTATGTTTTTATAGAATATGTATTTGTTATTTATAAATAAATGTTTCTTCTTGTAAATACATTTTTCTTATTCAAAAACACTTAACAAAAACAACTGGTGGTTGTTTTTGTTAAGTGTTTTGGTGTTTTGGGTGGTGTTGAGATGGTGTTTTGGGAGCTGGAACGGATTAATGGCATTTCAATTAATTTCAATGGGGAAAATTGATTTGAGATACGAGCAATTTGACATACAAGCAAGGTTACAAAATGAATTAAACTCGTATGTCGAGGTACCACTGTATTGTAATTTTAGTCTCAGTAATAACATATATCAGAACATTCAAGTTTTCTTTTCCAGTTAGCATAAATAGATAAGTCTTAAAAGATTAAAAGGATAAATCAGGAAGGATTTCAAACTATTGATATTTGAAAATTTTCAAAAAAGTAATCTACATAGTTTAAAGTGAATATTCTAAAATTTACATTTTTAAACATGTTGATTTATTAATTTTCCTGAAAATAATATTTTTAAATTTCAATAATTTTGGTTCAGAAACTATAAGAATTAATTTTTGACATAAATATTCCTTTAGAAAAGATCTTACTTTTTCAGTCAACCTTTTATTTTAATCATTAAAATATTAATTGTTTAAATTCTAAGATATTTATGAAATTTTTTTGTCATAATTAAGTAGTTTACATTCATGGATTGCACATAATTTATATTTCTTGACAAATGATATTATTTTGATGTTTTAACATTGTTTAAATTTACAACTTTCTACAATTTTTGATATTTTTGTTCTTATAAATGAATTTATTATATTTCGTTCTATTTGTTCTAAATTTTTTTATGTTTATAACTTGATGATAAAAACAATTGTTTGCAGTGGCTATCAATTTTCTTTTTGTAATAAAATACTAGATGTTTTAAAGTTTTGCATGGAAAAATCAATAAATAGACAAAATAAATAGAAAAAATGTTTTCTTTTCTTTCAAATAAGTGTAAAAATATATAGACTTACCAGTACATATTTGAGATAATCAAAAGCCAAAAATATAAATCTCATATTAATCTAATTTTTAGCTTGTCACAAGATGAATTTAATGATATGAGAAAATTAAAAATACAATAAAATAGGAAAAAAACATTTTAGGTCATTTTTGTATTTAAAAAAACCTGTTGCAGATAGTTCCAGTTCTTATTCAAGCTGAAAAGCCCTTGCTATCAAAATTTGATAAATCATATAGACATGCAATAAAGATAATTTTTCTTANTAGTGAAATTGTTCTGTTTTATTCTATTAAAATACAATATTTCCAAACAGTCACATTACATATTTAAAAGAAATGTGAACTATTCTATACAAAACAATATAATTTACATTAACAATTTGAAGATTTACTTACTTATTATTATAATATAACTAATGTTACTTAAAATATATTTAATTTTTATTTAAAACAACTGATAATTAAAAATTTAATACAATATTTTAAGTTATACAAATGTAATTTCTAATACTAAAATTCTATTCTACACAAATAAATATTTTTCAATAACTTTTTTATTTTATAAATAATATATTAATAAATAAATCATTCTATTTAACTTTTTATTTCTATATCACAATACAGTTTTTTGGGATTCTTGGAAAAACTCAATAGAAACATGCTCTAAAGTCAGTGAAATGAAAGAAATGCTTTCAAGCAGGATGTAATTAATTTTAAAAAATTAAAACATTTAGGGTTTTTCTTTTTATGAAAGACAAACATGCTACAAAATAAATAGTGCAAACTAAAATACATTCTACAAACACAAAGTGTTAAATAAAATCACAAAACTTTCAAAATTACTATCATTTATCATGCTGAGGGGAACATTAAATGCAAAATTACGCTAAATATTAGTAGTCATGCATGAGTTATCACCTTGATATGTCCCGAAGAAGGCTTCCCAATTCCATACAGATAATACTTTGCATAAGACCCCTGGTAGAAATATATAAACATCGAATATGGTAATCATGAGAGTTAAAAAAGGGGTCTATTAAATCCCAAACACTGACACATACACACTTAAGGTGTTGTGAAAACTCAGTGTTGGAAAATAAAAATAATTGCTAAAAAATAAGCATTGCAAAAATTAATATCAAAAGAAGCTAAAATTCTTTTCATTTTTACTTATATTGTAAAACATTTTTGATCATTTTTAATATTGCAAAACTTTATAAAAGTATTTAAACAACAAAATGAAACTGGGTGTATAATCTAATTATTTCATTATTTAATATTTGGCTTTAATTGTTGCTGTCATTGTTTGGTTTTATTCATTTCTGCAAAAGATATAATAAAAATAAATAAGCCTTAATATATAAATTAATTGTATTTTTAATTTACACTCCTTATACAGTGTACTGCATCAATGCTGAATTTTGATTTAAATTTTATTTAATTTTTTTATGCACCCAGTTCCATCATTAAATTCAATAAATGTTATAAATCATACCACTTTATATCATAAAATTATTTAAAATTATAATTAAAAACTCAGCAGGAAAAAAAATACAAAAATTGCATTAAAACATTATTATTTCATTAAATAAAAATAAGTGTATACATGGAAGATATTTTAACCAAAGAATTTGGCAAATAAAGTTAGAAAGTAAAGCATACACTTTACAATAACAGGCCTTATTTAAACCATCAGCAATTGCAGTGCACTGCATTCGGGAGTGATTGTGTAGCACCATTCACATGCTAAATATAAAGTTTCATGCTTTATATATGTATATACATATAAAATTTATATATTTTTCTATATGTATATGTATTACCTGTAAGTTTTTTATTATAACATTTTTCATTTATATTTATACATTTCTAATATAAATGACAATAATAAAATTACTAAACATTTTATTATAATATGGTAAATTTATATCTGAAAATGGAAAAGGTTTAATTATTATTAAATTAATAATAGTAATAATAAAATATATTATTTATAACATTTGTTAAAATGTAATTTTTAAACTTTTAAAATAAATTAACAACATTAATACACTGAATCCTTGTTTTATGAAAAGGAATGTTTATTGAAAGTTAATGATTAATATGAAAATACATTTAAATATGAGAACGGTTTTTTCAAGCTCCAATGGTCCATAAAACAAAGACAAGTGTAAATAACAAAATGAATTTATTACCAAAAGTTAGGTACAAACATGGTTACTTTTTAACATAATCACTATGAAGATTGAGGAATTTGTCATATCTGTGGACAAGCTTTTCCATCCCCTTGTCACAGAATGTTGCCTCCAGTGAACTGAGATGGCCTTAATAACATTGTTTTGAAGATCATCATTAGTCTCAAACCTCTGCCCTGCTAACAACATTTTCAGTTCAGGAAAGAGGTGGAAGTCTTCACACATTAAAAAGTTTTAAGCTGGGTGGAAGTCTTCACCACCTTTAAACACCCAGCATATAGCCCCGATTTAGCACCGAGCAACTTCCACCCGAACAGGAAAGTGGCTAGGAGGGCAGAGGTTCGAGACTAATGACAATCTTCAAAACAATGTTAAGGCTCATCTCGAGTCATTAGTGATAACATTCTATGAGGAGCAGAAGCAGGAACAGATCACTTCCTGCTGAGAGCTAACATGAAAGTGAAATGCCAGGTAATGACGAATGACAAGCAAAACCATCATTTTTCATACAATGTACATAAACTCAAAGCATAAACGAGCTTTTCCATCCCCTGATGGAAAAGCTCGTCCACAGATATGACAAATGCCTCAATCTTCATGGTGATTGTGTCAAAAAGTAACAATGTTTGTACCTAACTTTTGGTAATAAATTCATTTTGTTACTTACACTTAAGGAGGTAATAGGAGAACTACAGAGATATAAGATGGATATCACAGTCATCCAAGAAGCATGGTGGGTGGGGATGACATGATCACCTCAGAGAACATGATGATCCTGTATGGAGAAGTACTAGACATGAACTAGGTACTGGTTTCATCATAGCTATGCATATATGAGACTCGATCTTGACGTTTGAATGCATTTCTGCGAGGATTTCCAAGCTCAGAATAGAGGACGATGGTTCAATATCACATTAGTCAACACCCACACTCCCACAGAAGTCAGCGATGGAGGAAACAAAGACAAATTCTTTGAGGAGCTGGAGAACACAATGGCAGAGGTTCCAATGCATGACATAGTGATGCTTCATAGGGTCCTTAATGCTAAAATAGGCAAAGAGCGGTGCTTCCAACCCACCATAGGAAAGGAGAGTCTGCACGAGACAACCAATGATAATGGAGAGCGACTTATCAACTTAGCCAGTGCTAGAGATCTGATAATCCATAGTACTAATTTCCCTAGAAAAGATATTCACAAACAAACATGGATATCCCCAGATGGCAAAACTAGGAACCAAATAGATCATATACTCATTAAACCGGATATATCATAATAGCATAAAAAACATACATAGACTCAGACGAGCAGAAGCAGGAACAGATCACTTCCTGCTGAGAGCTAACATGAAAGTGAAATGCCAGGTAATGACGAAGGACAAGCAAAACCATCATTTTTCATACAATGTTCATAAACTCAAAGCTAATGACACCAGGCGGCAATACCAGGAAGAAATAGGAAAGGCTGTAGAATTGAATGCAATGAAAGAGATGGAAATGGACCAAGCCTAGAAAGCAATGCACACATCCATCTTAGAAATAGCCATAAAAACCGTACCTAGAGAATACAGACCAACGAAACCATGGTTTAACAGCATATGTGAAGAAATGGTAAATCAAAAAAATAAAGCAAGAATGAATTGGCTGGACAACCCAGAAAACCTACACATCAAAACATTCTAAGAAGACTATTAGACAGCAGAAAAGAAAAAGAAATTTCTCACAGTGTAAAGTACTATTTTATTTTTCCGACTTTTCCAACGATTATCGACACGACTGTTTGCCGGAAATAGCCGTTTCCTAACGGGTACTTTACGCGGATTAGCGTTAACGTGCCAGCCTGGACTTTTAGCATGCACCAAATTAAATAATGACAAAGTTTGTCAATAACAAAATCAAATATTTAATAAATAATTCTAAAACTATGTACAATATTTAGTAAAATCAAATAACAAATTTATTCAATGAAACTCAATAAGAATCAACCCGACAAAACTCAAATCAATCTAGTTTCTAATTTAAATCTATTCCCCTTTGGAATTCGACAAAATTCAAAGACTTAACTTATATACAATAATTCTTATGAATTAAAGATCCTAATCGTCACCTCAATATACTAGGAACCTATTTCCTCAACTTTCAAGACTTTCTCTATTCGTCGATCCACAAATCGAATAACTTCAAAATCACCTTGGAACTATTTGATCCTATCGGACACCTCTCTCGTTTACTGCTAAGAAGCTCACCAAGCTCGTTGCTAACTGGAGTTCACCTCGTCCGTCTTCACTTGACGTTCGGTTTTTATACTGTGAGGTGACGTCACAATTCTGACTGCGATCACTCCCCTCATTTACATACTTATTCGCTAACAATAAACTTTTCTATTTGTCTGGCAGCCTATTTTCCGACAATACTCACTAACCTTTTATATTATTCTTTTTGACAATTTTCGGGATGTTTTATTCTTTTAAGGTTTAGCGAATTTAAGTTGTGCTTGTGGGGTCTTCTCCCCCCCTTTTTCTCGGTGCGGACTTACTTTTTTCCGCTCGGGAACACAAGTGTGCGTGAGTTTTTTCTACGGTGCTTTTCTCTCGTTGGTGAGTTGGTTTCTCTTCTATTTTTAAGTTTCTAAGGTGAATGGTGAGGAAACCTTCGTCCTAACAAAACATAAGCCCCAAACAAAATATAATAAAAAGCAAAAATAAAAGTAAATAAAAATAATGCTCAAACTTGGTTCCTTACACTAGATTTGATTGAAGAAGCAGAGAATAATCATAAGAAGCAGAAAGTGAGAGATTTCTTTAGAGACATTAAGACTCTATACAACACATATTGACCAAAGCCCCTGGTCATCAAGGATGCATGTGGGAGGCTGTAAGCCAATGAACAGGAAGTTTCCAAAAGATGGAAAAAATATTTCCAGGATCTTCTGAACTGTCCAGACCCCATGACTCCAGCCACATTCCTCCCAAAACACACTGTTCAACCAGAAGTTGAAGAACCTACTCAGAGTGAAGTTCAGGTCATCATACAAAATCTACATAATCAAAAAGCTGAAAGGACTGACAATATCAAACCCGAGCTCATCAAATATGGTGGACAGCAGCTTGCAAAGACAATACATAATCTGATTCTGCAGATCTGGAGACAGGAAAGAATGCAAATGGAATGAAAGGAAGCAGGCATAATCCACATCCATAAGAAAGGAAATAAAATGTCATCTCTAGTTATGAGAAGATTGACTCCATACATGGAGGGAATCATGAGTGAATACAAACTGGTTTCTGAAAAAAATAGCCACAACTGATCAAATCTTCACATTAAGACAGGTTCTTGAGAAGAACTGGGAATACAATGTCGACACACACCTGTTGTTCATTGATTTTCAAAAGGTGTACAACAGCATTCACAGGTAATCAATGTGGAAGGTCATGAAGGAGTTTGAGATACCAGAATGAAGTGTGGTATACAGTAAAAACCAGGGCCACAAAGTTGGACAGCTTTCAGAGCAAAACAGGACTAAAACAGGGAGATGTCCTATCCCCTCTTCTCTTTAACATCGCTCTAGAAAAAGTTGTCAGAATGGCCCAGGAGATAGAGAATGAAAGGGAAAATGACTCAAGAGATAAACTGTCACTAGTAGCATATGCTGATGACATTGACATAATTGGAACATCTCGAGGGGAGGTGACAAGATTAATGTCAAAATTAGCAACAGCTGCCAAGAGCAAGGGTCTGATCATCAATGAAGAGAAGACTAAATACATGGTTATTTCTAAAAAGGGA